ACTTTTCTAGAACAAGAATGTAAATGTTTTGACACAATGACTATGCAAATTACATGAAATCTATGTGAACCAGCTTGATGAAAGTGTTTCAAAATGTATGTGAAAACACTACACTGTACTCCCTGTTTGCATTAATGTATAGAGCTATCATTTAATTAAAAAAAAAGAAAAAAAATAACACCATCAAAATGTGGATAGAGAACATAAATAGAGTTTTTTTTCCCCAATGGAAGACAGACAAATGGCCAATAAACATATGAAAAATGCTCAACATCACTAATAAGCATGGAAATGAAAATTAAAACCAGAGGAAGATAGAAACTTACAACTATCAAAATGTCATTAATTAAAAAAAAAGATGATGAAATTGATTCCATGAAAAAGGAACATTTACACACTGTTGGTGGTACTTAAATTAGTGCAACCTCTATGGAAAACTTTATGGAGATTCTTCAAAGAACTAAAAGTAGACGTACCATTTTATCTAGCAATCCTGCTACTGGGTATTCACTAAAGGAAAAGTTAATTGACATATCAAAGAGATACTTGCACTTGTATATATATCATAGTACAATTCACAACTGCAAATATATTTAGTCAACTTATGTGTCCATCAGTTTATGAGTAGACAAATTGTGGTATATATAAACCACAGAGTTTCACTCAGCTATAAAAAAGAATGAAATAATGTCTTTGCAAGTGGCTTGGATGGAACTGGAGAACGTTATCATTAGTGAAATATTTTGAAGTTGAAAAACAAAGACCACATGTCCTCACCATAAATGTCTTAACACAATAACTAAGAAAATGACATGAAGGCTATGTTAACCAGATAGATGAATGTATTTCAAACTGTATATAGAAACAACACACTGTACCCCATGATAGTATTAATGTACACAGCTATAATTTAATTTTAAAAAAAGAAAAAAAAAGAAAAAAAGCTAAAAGATAGGTACACATAGTCATATAGTGTTGCAATGAACACTGGAAACTAAGCAGGGTGGAAGTGGGACATGGTATAAAAACTACCCAGTGGGTAGAAAGTAAACTACTCTCTTGACAGGCACACTAAAAGCTTTGACTTTAGCATTATACAAGTCATCCATGTTTCAAAAGCATTTGCACCACATTCATAGCTTGAAATAAAAAATAAAATGCAATAAAAATATACAATTTTTATTTGCTAATTAATCCAAGAAAGATGGGGAAATTTAGCATAGATAGAAATATTGCTCATTATCCTGATAATTTTAATTAAAACATTGAGGGTCAATTATTTACATGATACAAAAAGACATTACCTTTTCCATATATAGACTCACAATGTTTATCAGGATCAGAACATTCACCATTAAAACAAACATATATATTATTTTGGCATCCATTTCCATTTTGTATAGTTATATCAGGAACACACAGTGATGAGGATCCATTACAAAACTCACTGACATCACATTCAGCATGTGCTTTGGGCCTACATTCAACATTTGTGCCTGCAAACTAACAAAAATTGGAAAATAAAAGCTAAATTATATAAGATTGCTGTGTTCATCAATATTTATTTCAAAATTGCATTAGTTATTTTCACTTTTCATCTATATATTAATTAATGTGAATTAATTATTTTTGTATAAATTATACTGATCATATTAAAACATAAATTGATTATTAACAACTAGAACATGAGATAAGATACACCTCCCAAAGCACTAGGACAACTGGTATGAGTCACTGCACTTGGGCTGTTTTTTGTTTTTCTTTTTGTGTAACCATTTTTGAAAGCTTGGAGTTTAAATTTTGTGCTACATGCACCATTTGGGAAATGTTACTTATAGTGAGTTTCATTCTTTATATAATTATGGAAAATTGCTATATCTTTCAACTACATACACATAATTACTTAACATAACCAACAATTCCATTTTTATTTATAATAATATGAATGTAAGATATGGTTAAAGAGTAATAATTCCTCTCAGTGGAGATATTATATACTAGAGAATTTTACAATAGCTCTCAATTAAGGTTTGAAAAATAACAGCCTTAATTTAGTGAGAATATTGGCCTTAGACAGAGGCCCTAACACCAAAGAAATGTTCACAAAATCAGAAATCTGATTCTGAATTTATTAACTTTTTGTTTATCTGCAAAATTATTATATTTTAACTTACAGCTATAAGTCTAAGTGTCAAAAAGTATTCTGCACATCATTTTTTACATACTTGGAAGAGGTTAATACATTTAAATCTTACTTGACAGTTTGTGCAACATGGTCCTGTATAACATTGTGCTCCATGTCTGAGCACACAATTTTCAGGATCACAACAGCTATTAGCTCCACATTCCTACGAATGAGTAAAATGGACAAGTAAAAATAAATCCTGGCAGTAATAATAATTTTGCTAAAAGCAATATATTTGATGGGCTTACTTCTTGAGACTTGGAAAAGAACATAAATGCTGCTGATAGTGGTAGCTTCTAGCATATCTAAATATTTAAAATAATAATGTGAGACTTTTACTTCAGGTCATAAGAGAGTAACTAGTAGTTTTCTTATGTTCCTATCCAACTAGAAAACACACACCCCCAAGAAAACACAGATAAATTTACTTCTTCCATTAATTGGATATATAGTTGGTTGAAGTTGTTCAATTAGTGGAGTTATAGAACAGTGTGAAATCAAAGGAACTATTTATAATAGTTCTGCCTTTGTTTGAGCTACATGTGAATAAAACAGAAGAATTATCTTCAAGAAAATGACTGCCATCACACTGAAGGCCAAAAATACCCAAGCAACTCAACCAGGAGATATTGGGGTTCTCTATCCAGCCATAGTAGAAAAATTTCATTGAATAGCTAGAATATTCAGTAGATACTCAGGAGGCTACTGTATGAATATAGGGTAACATTAACTATAGAGAGAAAGGCACTTTATTCTTTAAAATCTTACATATATTCTTCAAAACCACCAAGCCAGATTGACTATCAAATATGGCTAGAACAGAGTCAAGCTACACAAGTAAGATGGTATCTAACTAAAAGTTTGTGCACAATGGAAAAAGTCAACAAAAAGGGGAAAATGCCTACAAACCATATAATTCTGATAAGGGGTTAATTTCCACAGCATATATAAAAAACAGACAATTCAACTTAGAACATTCATACTACTCATAACAAAATAATAATAATAACTATATTTTATTTTGAAAAATGGATCCAAATACTCATTATTCCAAAGAAAACATAAAACTAGGTACCAGGTACATTAAAAGGTACTCAGCATCAGCAACATGAGGAAAATTAAAATCAAAAGTATGGTGAGATATTTGTACAGTCATATAGATATACATCTGTTAAAATGCTTACTATGCAAAAGCAAGACAAAACAAGTATTCATGGAATGTAAATTCATATAGTTGTTGATGAGAATATAGACTGATAAAGCTGGTATGGAAAATAGTGTGGAAGTTCCTGAAAACATTAAAAATAGAACTACAATATGATAGCATTCCAACTATGGGGTATACATCAAAGGAAATGAAATTAGTGTGTTAGAAACACCTGCACCCCCACATTTATTGTAGCACTATTCACAGTAGTCAAAATAAGAAAGCAACCTAAATTTCCATCAATATAAGAATGAAGAAAGAAAATGTGTTATACCTATATACAATGGGACACTATTCAGCCTTAAAAAATGAAATCCTAAGGTTTGTGACAACACAGAGGAAACTGGAAGACACAGGAAAGCAAATTCTATATTATCTCACTCATATATGGATTCTAAAAATGTTGATCTCATAAAGGTTGATAATAGAATAATGGTTATCAGAGATGGAAGAGAAAAGAAGGGAGATGGGCAGATGTTGGTCAGCAAGGACAATTTTACAATTAGATAAGACAAATAAATCTGGCATTTTATTGCACAGTAGGGTGACAATAGTTAAAAACATATTGCATATTTCAAAAATGGCTAGAAGAGAGAATTTTTAATGCTCTCGCCACAAACAAATGAAAAATGTATAAAATAATAGATATACTAATACTATAACTTGATCATTACACAATATATACATGTATCAAAACATCTTTGTACTCCGTAAATATGTACAACTTTTATGTGACAATTAAAAATGAAAAGGAAACTTTAAAAAATAATAATAGAACTGTCATACGATCCAGCAATCGTTCTTCTGGGTGTATATCAAAAGAAAATAAAATCAGTGTGCCAAAAATATATCTGCACTTTCATATTCACTGAAGTCCTCCCCAACTTGTGGTTTCACTTTCCACAACTTTATTACTTACAGTCAGTCACAGTCTAAAAATATTAAATGGAAAATTCCAAAAATAATTTGTACATTTTAAATTGAGTTCCCTGCTGTGTAGTGTGGAAAAAAACTTGCATGACTCTATTTTGTCTCCCTAGCATGTGAGTCATTCGTTTGTCCATTGTATCCATGATGTCAATTCTCTATACCCATTATTTACTTAGTAGCTATCTGGGTAACTATAGGATAAATACATTAAAGACCCACATAAATAAAGAGACACACCATGTTCATGGATTGGAAGGCTCAGTATTAATGAGAAAGCAACACTCTCAAAACTGTTGTATAAATACCATATAATTTCAAAATACTTATACATTTTTAAATAAAAATTCACATGGTTATCTTCTAATTTATATGGAAATACAAAGGACCTAGAGTAGCAAAACCATCTGAAAAAGAGAAACAGTTAGTGGGTGACCTATAATATCTACTTGTAAGATTTACTGTTAATATGCATTAATTAAGACACAGTGAAACTTATATAATGGAAGAAATATGAACAGAAGAGAATAAAGGTAAACATGCAAACATGGGAATTTATTTTTAGTAAGAATGCTGAGGTAATACGATGATAAAAAGTTGGTCATTTAAAAATACTGCTAGAAAAATAGAACATTCATTACAAAGGCTAATAAAACTCTATTCAAATCTCTCACCAAACACAAAAAATAAAATAAAAACACATCATAGATGTAAAAGTTAAAATTGCATAACTTACGATGAAAAGCATAGGAATATATTCACAACTTTGGATAAGCAATGATTTTTTTAACATTTTTTTTATTAGATCATAGTCGTGTACATTAATTCTCTCAAAGGATACAGTGTGTTACTTCTATATGCAGTTTGGAAAACTCTCATCCAGGTGGCCAACATAGCCATCATGTCTTTCTCATAATTGTTATGCTAAGACATTTATATTCAACCTTTAGACAAATTCACCTGTACCCAAATAGAATAAACTATA